TAGGCCATTTGATGTTTAAAATGGACCTGAGGTGTCTACGATGAAGTGTGTCCATTTTCTCCATGGTTGCTTTTTTAGGACTCCAACTATTTGAGTTGTAAATTAATACAGATACAACTTGAGCGTCATATAACCTCAGCTTTCTTTCAAGGGAAATTTTCTTACCGGACAACCAAACTTTTTCGAAGTTCTTAAAAGCAATTTCAGCTAGGATTCTCCTTCTTTGAATGTCCTTCTCAGTACACAGTAAGGTACCTAGTGACTTATTACTTCGCCATGGTTCATTATTAGCTAATGGCTGACCGTTAGTGTCTTTATCAGATTTTTTCGCCAGGTAGAAGGTACTGAATTCAGTTTTACTTTCATTTACTTGGAGGTTCCAGTCTTTGAGAATCTCTTTCACTGCAGGAAGGAAAATTCTCAGTTTCTCGATGTCCTCGTCAGCAAAGTCACAATCGTCTGAATATTCCCACTCAGTTGGAAAACCTAGTTCTGATACTGGTGGGTTTGGTCTCCCAGATACAGCTCTGAGGTGGTGTAAGGCTGCTGCAAGAATAAGTGTGAATAGCTTTCCAGATAAACTGTCACCTTGAAAGGCTCCGAGTAAACTTTCAAACTCTTCCGACAGTGAGGAGTTAACACGAACTCTAAGGAGAGTATTCGATAGAAGGTATTGAACTAAGCGAAATGTCGTCCTCCGAACAACCAGCATCTTTCAAAACATTTATGATAGTATCCCTTTTCACGGTATCAAAAGCTCTACTCATATCAATACCCATTTTGCTAAATGTCCATTTCTTCCTCATCACAACAGATATGAGCATTCTCTGAGCCCACACAATGTCAGAGCAGCTCCTACCTCTCTTGTAAGCACTCTGCCATGGCATGGTGTAGTTGTCAATTCTACTCTCAACCCGTTTTAAGGCAATTTGAGTGAGCATCTTCCTCGATCCGTTTAACAGTGTAAGTGGTCTAAGGCTTGTGAGGGGACCTTTAGGTTTACCGGGCTTCTGCAGAGGAGTCACAATACCTTGTCCTATCGAACTAATGTATTTGTTCCCACTAAATGACTCGTTAATTGCCTCAGCATACTTCTCAAAAGTGATTGGATGGGCGTACTTTATCAACTCATTCTGGAGATTATCTGGACCACTGGCACGGTTTGATTTGAGTTTACTTGCAGCAAGTTTAACTTCAACTGGTGTAATGGGGTTATCAAGTGGTTTTGGATCGCAGGTAAAAGGTTGCAGGCCAGCTTCAACTCCTTCTGTTAGTTGTTTTTCGAAGAAAGATTTCGCTGTGTTTGCTTTCCCTAATTTTTTTTTGTTTTTTTTTTAGGGAAAGCAAACAAAAAAAAATAACTACTGATATAAATTAACTGCAGTAACATGGTGCAACTATAAAACTTACCCCCCCCCCCCCCCCCCCCCCCCCCCATTTCATTTCATGACCACTACAATGTTAGAACAGTGTCCACACAATGTAAGAACAGTGTGTACACACATTGTTAGAACTCACAATGAGATACACACCCTAAAATGACATACCAGACCCCATTGTGTGAATAGAAACACAACAGTCAACACGTGTGAAACAAAGCAACATACCATGGGTATTGGGTAGTGTGTAGTGTGTGGTGGGAGGTTAAATGTAGAGATGTTTACAAAACCCCCACCTCATGAGGATTATTACATTTACGATCTGTTAAAACATATTTAACATTACAATTACATAATATAACCTACATAAATCCTGTTCTGGGTAAGTTTTATATTAATAATAAACCATTGTTAATGGTTTATATTTACAGCTGTGGACTGCAAATGAGAACATGGTAGTAATTAGAAGTTTATTTTGGTAATTCAATAAGTCGGCAATATCAACTAAAATAAGCAGTCCAAGACATTTATTTTCGGGAGAGTGATACTGAATGTTCAAGATTGCTTGACACCTTCAATTGAATTTTGAAAGTTTGAGATCAATAAACTGAATCTAAGAATTCCTTAAACGGTAAAATTAATTTCAAGGGAATTTATTCCGCAATGTTAAAACTTCTTATAATGGCGTAATTTATTAATTTGATATAAAAATTCATCGCAGGATTGCTCTATAATTGGGAAAATAAGGAGACTGATTAATAAGTAGGAGTATTGAGTTACTGTCGGGAAGGCAGTGTTTTTGGGACAATGATATCATGGCCGGATCGCTCGTGATGCAGATTACCCATCTACAAATAGCATTATCATCTCCTCTTTCTTATAAAATCCTAAAGTCACACACTTTGTTTTGTCGTTATGTTCACCTTGCCTCTTTTTCTGTTAGTATGTTGCAGTAGAGTTGTGACTTTTCAGAACACCCGCATCCCGCCAGAAACTAAAGATCAGATCCTCGCAACAGCAGATGTGAACACAGCTTTTGAGTTATATCAGCAGAGTTATACGCCGAGTTATAATACGCCATCAGTACTCTTCTTGACTGGGTCGACTCGTAGAAGAAACAGAGCTCAGAAAAGACAAGATAGGAGGAAGAAAGCTAACTTTGTGATATCTTTGGGGGAGATAAGAGAACATAATGTGAAGTATGAGAGAGGAGAGTCCTGGTATCGTATGTCAGTTAACCAGTTCTCTGTGATAAGCTCCACCGAGAGGAGGAGATATCTCGGGTATCTGGGGGATGTGGACCAGAACAGGACCAACTCAACCAACATAACGCTATTAGGAGGAGGTAAGGAGAGCTACCCTGATACACTGAGCTGGAGAAAGAGAGGCTACGTAACAAATTCAGTAGACCAGGGTGAATTCTGTCTCTCATGTTGGACATTCCCAGCTGTAGCCCTGCTAGAGTTCGCTCTGAGAGAAGTATCAGGATCTTTACTCCCTCTATCTGCGCAACAACTGCTAGATTGTACCTACGAGGAGGTGGTGGACGTAGTGGGACCTCGCCATGATGGGTGTAAGGGAGGGAGGTACCAGGATGCCTGGAGGTACCTTATCTCCAGACAACACCTCACTTCACACACAGAGTACCTCTACAGAGCCGCAGATAGGAAGTGCAGGTACCACAGGTACTCTAATAAACTTGAGAACTATGTTAAGTTAACCGGGTACAAGGCTGTACCCTCTGATGCTGACGGTGTTATGGAGGCGGTGCAGGTGATGCCACTTGCTACAGCGATAGCGGCTGAAGATGAATTGTGGCTGTATGATAAAGGGATATATGATGGCTGTACACAGAGACACAGGGTTCCAGATCACGCAGTGCTTATCACGGGATACGGGATTAAGTACTGGGAGATAAGGAATAGTTGGGGACCAGATTGGGGGATGGATGGGTTCCTCAAATTCTTCAGGGGACAGGGTGCCAGAATGTGTTTCCTCCTGGACTATGCGTTTTATATCACTTATCAGAACATGAAATCACCAGAAAACACTGTTTCTCCAACTGTTCCTTCCACAACAACGTCCGCCAATTACAAAGCTTCAAACTGTACGGAAGGAGGAATGTACGAGACAAAAACTGACGACGAAGAGAAGGGAAAGAAAGGAGAGAAGAAAGAAGAGGAGGAGGAGGAAGAGGAAGAAAAGGAGGTAGAAGAGGAAAAAGAAGAACAAGAGGAAATAGAAAAAGAGGAGGACGAAAACGGAATGTCAGACGAAACTAGGATTGAAGAAGAGGAAATGTCAGGAGAAGATGAACCACCAGGGTCAACAGTGGACTATAAAACTTTAGACCCCGAGTTAACCGCGGCTGACAATGAGGACTGTAATGATGATCCAGAATATAAGTTTCTGTGCCAGCAGTGGTCCAAGTTGCCTGGTGATCCCTGTAATGCTGGATCCTGGCTTATCTTCACCCAGTATCATTGTATGAAGTCATGTGCCAAATGTAGTGAATGTCAGGATAAACACCCGAGCTCTTGTAAATCGTGGGCAGATGAGGGTTACTGCCATGATTCAAGTGAACATCAGGTGTGGATGAAAAGCAACTGTGTAGAATCTTGTGGTTACTGTTAGCTCAGACTGTCGGACATTTCCATGGATTTGGATGATAACAGTAACGATCAAGTTATTACTTTGGGTGTGCCCCTAGTCACTAGTCAGATATGAGTTTGTTAATAAGACAGTGCGTCATACTAATTAATTAATAATTATCAGAGATTTAAATGCTAATATGACAGTTAAAAATCACTGTTTTTAGGACACCTTTCACAATTTGATTACGAGCGGTAACATTTAGTGCAAAAAGGGAACGTTAATTATAATCATGGGCGTAATTTACCGAGACAATAGATTTAATTACTTAATTGCTAGACAATTCTCACAATTACATAATTGGTCAGGAATCGTTATATTCCAGTCATTACGAATTAGATTTATTCATTGTTTCACTTTCTCTAGAAACATTTCAATCGCCCTAAAAAGCAACGTACTTGGTTATAAATGTAATTCTTAAACAATTAACTATTATTAAGAACTGATATAATATTAGTGTAATCGTTCTATGTGATAGGACAATAATTAAGGGCGTCGCGTAAATTAACAAACCTTACACGAAGGAGTTCAAGTACAGATCTAAAATGTTTGTGTCTAGTTTCCAAGAAATAAAGGCTAATTTGCCATCTCATTGTAACCCTCCTGAGTACATTGGAATGTACACACAGGACTCACTGTACTGTACACAGCTGTCCACCATTGCGAGTGTGTTAAAGGTTTATTTCACACTGATGTACTGTAGTACAGACGAGAAGTCTACCCCGAGTCTAACTCCTCCACTTCATATTTACCCCGAGTCTAACTCCTCCACTTAATATTTACCCCGAGTCTAACTCCTCCACTTAATATTTACCCCGAGTCTAACTCCTCCACTTAATATTTACCCCGAGTCTAACTCCTCCACTTAATATTTACCCCGAGTCTAACTCCTCCACTTAATATTTACTCCGAGTCTAACTCCTCCACTTAATATTTACTCCGAGTCTAACTCCTCCACTTAATATTTACCTATCAGAGACTGAAGTAAAGAGGTCGGCCGCTCTGAGAGTAGTTTGAAGAACAGGTAACAGTAACTTTAGTCTGTCCTGTTTCTCCTGAAGTCCACAGAGACAGGAGCCAGCGTACTCCTTACAATCCTCTATCAGTCGCTCCTTACATAACTCCACTGCTTTTGTTATGCTGCTGTACGTCTCATCTATCTCTTCTAGTCTCTGGAGTGAGTTATAATTAGAACAGCTGAGTGAGATACAGTACATTTCTTTTCTCATCATTTTACTTTACATTACGCATCAACATTTTTGCTCTCTAATCTTTTCACAAGTGCACTGACTTGCTGATAAGAAACTGCTTGATTTTATCATGTCCGGCCATCTTAACAAGTCGATCTCTGCTGCTAACAAGACTCCTGCTGCTAAGAAGACTCCTGCTAGGAAGAACAGTATCACTAAACCCGCTGCCTCCGGGTCACCCTCAGACACGGAGGCACCCTCCCTCGGTATGTTGGGCTTTGGTGTGCCATCAATTTACACGTTTTGCGCTAAGACATGTTTAAATGTTTTACCTACCCTCTCCAAAGAAGATATTGATTTTGAATACAACAGGCTCCGTCTTATTGACTCCACATTTAATGGCAAAGCCACTAAGCCTGACACCAAACAAGCCGCCATTAAACAATATCTAACACGTCAAATAGTCGTTGATTTAGATCAATCCATGAATAGTCTAACTGCGGCTGCCAACTTACTTTCATGTACTGTTAATGGGGAGTGCGAGAAGGCGGTGAAACATCTAGCAGAACGTGCTCTGACGGCGATCGAAGAAGTCTCTGATGAAACGAAGAAACAGACCACCCTCATCACACAACAGACTGCAACTCTCATCTCTGAAGCCCCCTCGCAGAACCTCGACATCTCCAGAGAAGTTACAAGTATGCCTCATTCGCCGGTAAGACTTTTAGAGTGCGATCTTTCAGAGTTAACTTTTGGTGAAGTTTCAAGTGAGCTAAACTTTGACATGCACCACCCTGGAGGCCGTATTACAACTTATTATGGCTCCGTCCCCTACACGTACGGCAGAACCTCACATCCTGTCTCTGTTGGGCCACTTCCACCCACTCTGAAACGTGTGTACGAGCAACTGCAAAAACTGGACGCTGACATAACCCCAGAGAACTACACTTGCCTTTGCACGTTATACAAGGACGGATCGGTCGGCATACCGATGCATAATGACAGCGAACCTAGCATAATGGAGGATAGTCAAATTTATACAGTGTCGTTTGGAGCAACTAGAAACCTTAGGATATCAAGTACAGTAGGCCCCTTTGTCGAGCATAACATTCCACTTGAGCACGGTTCACTTTACGTCATGTCACGAGAAGATCAGGACAACTGGCGCCACGGCATTGACCGCGATATCTCGTTAAGGTTTCCACGCATTTCACTGACTTTCCGCAAACTGAAACAACAAGAGTCATGCACTGTGCCTGCACCTCCAGCTTTCCACCGGATACCACCTGTTGCCCCTCCAGCTCAGAACTCCTCCTCTCAGTCTCGTCACTCCAGGGTCCTATTCATACATGACTCTATTCATCGTGAAACACCTGAATGGTTATTCGATCAGATACCCGGCCACCGCTGTCAGAAGCGTTTGAACTACCAGCTCATAGACTCTTTGGATCATGACCTCAAACATGCCAAAACTGTGATCATCTCATGTGGCATAAACGATCTTTCACGGTATGGAAAATCTGCCAAGAGTCTGGCTGATAACTTTTGTCCCCGCCTTGTCGAAAGCTGTAAGAGCAACAAAAGCACACAGTTTGTTTTTTGTGCTTTGTCTTTAACTAGAATTGGTTGGTTGAACAGAGAAATTGATGATTTTAATCTATGTATGGTGAATCTCGCCAGGGTGATTCCCAATCTGACATTTTACGATGCCCATGCCGTTATCAAGCGGGTTCATTCATACTACGTATGGGACCGCAATGATAAGCATGGCATCCATTTACATCACGATGTCAGAAGGGCTGTTGCAAATGAACTTGTCAACTGCGTTGGCAAGTTATGTGGATCAGAACTGCCACGCCACAGGAACTGTGCGTGGCTCTACCACCATGAGCCTAACAGTCCTTTCAGATATCACCGAAGTTGAGCACTAATCCATGAATGAATTAATTATATAAAATCAACCTATTCTGAAAAAGCCCTTAAATTAAGCATATCATCAAGTTATTTTCATATCTTTTTCAGTACATCCTCACTCCTCAACCAAATTCATCATTTGTTTGCTACCACGATCGATTTTTGAAGAAATGATCTGATTGGTCGAAAATGCTTATCTTCTTAAGCTTATCAGATGAACTGATGAACATTCTTAACTATCAAGCATTTTTTGTCTCTTATCATCCCACCATACATTTCCTAAAACATTTTCACATTACCAAACAAAATTGTGCACTTTTTATTTAATAATTATAGAAGCTTCTCTGGTAAATCAGCATCAAGCACGTTTCCTCAGTCAAAGTTCAGTGCAACAGTATTTTCGAAAACTTCACAAACAACTAAATAGCAAAAATCACCACACAAAACTACACAACGACACAATTTCACACAACAACATTCAAATCACAACGATTTAATATACACTCTAGGTAAAGTCATATTATCATACTGATAAGCCCGAAAATCGAGATAAGGGCACTATATTGTAACATCTAATTTAGCGAATATTTTTAACAAATAAGTAGATAAGACTCAGATCACGATTTTGTAGCATACAGGACCTCCGGTTCTCGTGAAAGAATCTGATTTGCACTAGTATAGATATATTTTACGTTATTTATAAATTTATACATTTTTTATTCTCTAATTCGTCCACAAGCATAAGAGTTAACTTAAAATGGCAAATGTTACTGATACTTCTGGTCATAAAATCAAAATAAAATGTGGTAGCTGTAGCGGCTGGTGTTATTCTTCCAAAAACATCCGCAGCTGCTCATGGTGCCATAACAACGTCCACGTCAAATGTTTTAAGGAAAATTTAGGTTGTACAAGCTGTTGTGAGAGTCTTATTCCTGGATTTTACGCGACTTACTATGAAATTTACGATGACTACAATAAGCTTAATGGCGCTATTTATAATCCATACGCTCAAAATAGTCGATGTAATCTTATTGGAGACGCCATGACCAACGAAGAGCACCAGGATTCAACATGGAGTGACATTTCGGCTTTCCTAACTCACTGTCAGTATAAACAGCAACGTAACGTGAAAAGGTCGACATCCTCTCAACTTAAAACATTTTCCATGAACATCAGATCCCTTTTCAAAAATATTGATCAACTACGAGAAGATATAGAAATATATGATAAGTATGATGTATTGTGTTTTAACGAAACTAACTGCACTCTAGGAAAATTGCCCAACGGAATAAACGACATCACATTAAATGGATTCCATGAACCGCATATCCAAGATCCCATCCGCACAACGGGTAAAGGTGGGGGGCTTGCCATATACATACACAAACGTGTAGTTGACTCTGATAAAATTGATGTCTTCAATCCTAACCCTGAACCCTCAAATACTAGCGGCGAATTTCAATTTATCAAGATCCACCAGTGTAAAGGATATAATAGAACAAAGATAATTGGAAATGTTTATCGCTCTCCCGCTAGAAAACCTGAAGCATTTCTTGAGATTTTTAAAAGTACACTTCACAACCTGGGAAGACACTCTCGCAAACATATGACGTTACATGGAGATTTTAACCTAAATTTACTGAAGCACAGTAGCAACCAGGCATGTCAAAGCATTATAGATATTGCATCCTCTTACGGTTTCATCCAAATTGTATCACGTCCAACTCGCATAACAGACCACAGTGCCACGCTTATTGATCATATCTACACGAACAATCTTGAAGATACAATAAGCTGCAACGTATTGACGACAGATCTGTCGGATCACTTAGCGATAGTTACAACAATTAATCTTGATAATACATCCACCAGCAGTTACCGCTCCGCATCTTATAATCAAAATCCAACTCAAACCAACGTACGTAGTTTTAATGAGGCCAACAACCATAAATTTAGAGATTTAATAATGGAAGAAAATTGGTCTGTAATACTAACAAATACCCATGATGCTAACCAGCAGTTTGATTGTTTAAATTCGGCTTACAACAGGATTTATAACGCTGCCTACCCGACTAAGAGACAGTCCGAGCGCAGACAAAATGAACGTGTTAATCCCAAACCATGGATACTGCCCTGGCTTGAAGAAGCTATAGAACGTAAAAATCAGGCATATCATGATTTTGTTAAGGAACCAGTTGATAGGAACCAGCTAAAATACGACCGTTTGAAAAAGTTTTGCACTAAACACGTTGACAAAGCCAAAAACATACACTACAAAAAATTCTTCGAACAACACAAAGATAATTCTAAGAAGCAGTGGCAGATGATTAACGGTCTTCTAAATAGGAAACCAGCTAAACCTACATCGATAAAACTGTCGGACGAAAACGGACAAGTCAGCACACCGGCAGCAGTAGCAGAAAAATTTAATGATCACTTCTCAAACATCGCTCCAAAAATTAAATCTGAAATTAGTAGTAGGACCACGTTCGATCCTGGTGGGGCCCAGGGGACACTTCGCAACCCTTCTCCAAATAGTATCTACATAAAACCAGTCACAACTACCGAAGTTCAAGACGTTATTAACCTATTTAAGAATAAAGCTACTCTTGACACCAAAATCCAACCACTCAAAATTGCCAACAGCTGTCATAATTTTACCACTGTATTGGCCCACGTTGTTAACAGCTCGTTCGAACAAGGGGTCTTTCCCCAAGCCTTGAAAACGGCAAAAGTAGTTCCTGTACATAAAGGTGGATCTAAAACTGACATCAAAAATTACAGACCGATATCTCTACTTGCCACTTTCTCAAAAGTCTACGAAAAGCTTATGCACAATCGAGTCATAAATTTCTTGGATACCTACAATATACTTTGTGAAAATCAATACGGCTTCCGCCCAGGTAGGTCTTGTGAACATGCCCTTCTTAATGCTAAAGACAGAATCCTCAATTCAATGTCCAAAAAGCAAGTTACTTTGCTCCTTTTGATTGACTTTAGCAAAGCCTTTGACCTTGTGGATCACTCCATACTCCTGAATAAGCTCGAGCACTATGGCATAAGAGGTCTAGCTTTAAACTGGTTTAAATCATATCTTATGAACAGAAACCAGTATGTATCAATTGGATCCTCTGAATCCTCAGCAAACCCCATTATTTACGGTGTACCCCAAGGTTCAATTTTGGGACCTCTCCTTTTTATAATCTACATAAACGATCTTCCTCAAATATCCGAAATAGCTAATTTCATCATGTACGCAGATGATGCAAACATTTTCCTAACAGGAGAAAATATAAACGAGGTTTATGATAAGCTCAAAATTCTTAGCGATGTCTTAGTTAAATGGGTAGATAACAACGGATTAGCTCTAAATCTTAAAAAAACGAATTATATGATCTTTTCTCGGCAAAGAAACCTCATTTATCGCGATGTAGTAATTTCTAGTGTCACAATCGAAAGAAAAACAGAAGCCCGTTTCTTAGGAGTTATAATAGATAACAAACTGAACTGGTCGCAACATATTTCTGCCATGAAAATGAAAATGGCCAGATACATTGGAGTCATGTACAAACTTAAAAAATATTTGCCTCTGGAAGCACGTTTACAAATATATCACAGCTTTGTGCAGTCTCACCTTAATTACTGCTCCCTCGTCTGGGGTTTTGCTGCCAAATCCCATATAGAAACACTATTTGTAAAACAAAAAATGGGTCTTAGAGCAATACTACCAGGTTTTGTTAATTACTGGTACAAAGACGGTACACCACCAGCAAGTACCAAGTCTGGTTTCTATGTACACAAAATATTGACAGTTCATAGTATCATCGTAAAGAACGCATTAGTTTTTATACATAAGCTGAAAAACTTCCCAAGTTTAGTGCCTCCCTCTATAAAGAAAACAATACCTAACAGTGCACCAATATTTAACGTCGCCGATCCGGATTCGAGTCTTACAACTACATGGTCAGATGAATACGGTAAATACCCTTACAATAATTCAGTATTCTACAAAGGTCCACTACTAGCAATAAACAGATATAGTGTCGCAGCAACTTCCTTGCCAAGTCTATTCAACCTTAACATCTACAAAAGGTGCATAAAAAACATGCTCATTGATCAACAAAACGAGGGCATTGCAGACGAATGGCCCAACTTTATGTTATACAATATAACGGGACTAAGGAAATCAGAGCGCAACATCAACCGCAATGCTAATAATAACTCTGTCTCTTAAGCACGCCATCACAGAATCAATTTCACTGCATACCATCTCAGTTACACTGCCATCAATTCGCCAGCAAAAACGGCATGACGCTATGCGACTGATAAGAGTCGTTAAATTTTTTAAATTTTGGAATAGCTAGCTAGCCGTAGCTATGCGCCTGTTTCCACTCTACAACTCTAAAAGCGCATTAATATGATAATTTTAACTAAAGGCAACTTTATATGTGCTCAGCTATGTTTTTTTCGACAAGCTCCATGTAATGATACATATTAATCGTTTTAATGAGATCTAATCTTGTGCGAGTTTTGAGTTTGAATTGATAACACTTATTATATATATTATTTTTTGATTAAACATTGGCTGGTACTTCGGGCCGGTCCCCAACAAACATTAAATTGATCTGAAGAAATAAAATTAAATACAGTAGCCATAGGGTAGTTTTGAAGTTACATAACACGTACTTGACGCACTACATTTGTGTGTATCATTATCTTAACAACATTCCCTGTAGATAATTACAACGGCTCAAATTCAACATGAGATTTGTGCCAATATAATCACCCCATATTCGTACTTCAATTTCTTTTTCAATCTTAGTGATGTAATCAAACTGTGATCAAATATCGGCAACATGTCACACGTGAAGAAAGCCAGCCAAAAATTCGACATTCAATCCACTAATGAACAAAACAAAAAACTCTGCTTACTTTTTGAGAGGAGTCTTTGGTTTCAGTTATCATGAGATCAATCTTGTCCACAAGTTCTGACAAGGAACTCTGTGTAGTACAAGTGTACTCGATACTCTTACACATAGCGTTCTGTACCGTACTGTATGCTGTCTCAATATCCAAACAGTGCGTTCGCTTGGACAGCCCAATCTCTCTGAAGCAGCTTATACACACTAGACTCTGGGGGAGTGTTTAATTTCAAGAGTAATTCTTGGCACATACTATATATAGTACAATCAGCTTACCCCTGCCTAGTATCTTATGTCAGCTAACGTAATATCAAGACATCCAATTCAATCTTAATAAAGTCGAAATATTGCAATAAGCTAAGATCCGCCTAAGTAGGGGATGTAAGGATTTGATTGGATTATGTTATATAGTGTAAGAAATATGTATATTTAACTATTACTATTTAACTATTATGTATAAAGGTATAAGAAAAAAAGTTAACCTTATCTTCAGCATTGAACATAATGAAAGGTTCATTATGCAATGAGCACATTCGTTGTTTGTTCAATCGTTTTAATAAGATATCAACAATCTCGTGTTTCGCAAACATCTTGGCTGAGTGGGTGAAATCTCTACACTTTTGACAAAGGGGCTGACTGAAAATGATATTAATTCATGAAAAGAACTAAGAGTCAAGAAACAAGCTTAAAACAATAATAATAATACAAGTCAGAATAAAAGAAGTAAAATAAAAATAAAAATATCAACAGTCTAATAAGTATGTACATGGTAAAACACTATCAATAGAAACTAACTGAGCAATAATAAAGTAAGAATACCTGCAAGTGTTGCAAAACAACATGACATCAATAGAATGAGATTGCTCACAATTTGCACAGGATATTCCCTCTAAGGTCTGTTTGTTAGACATTAAATACTCCACCAGCAAATCCTTTGGGATCTCTGGAAGTGGAGGTATGATCCCACTGCACACTGGACACCTGGAACAACATTATTTATTTAGCGTTAATTATCATATTTTTGAATTATTAAATACATATTTAACATATTAATGGAAATTATTGAAGGTTGTCATATTTTATCAAGTAATAATTTGTACCATTCTCAGGGAACATGGCAGTGAAGTTGACTGAAGAAGGCTAGGGAGACTTTAACCAAGAGCATAATTTTTAAAACATAACAGTACCTGGTTTTATCTAAGTCTAAGCAGTCAAAGCATACTGAATGAAGACATGGTAACAGTCTTGGTTCTTGAAAACTCTTTTTACATGAGGGACAAAGCATTGGAGACAAAGTCTTCATTTCTTCTAATGCTGCAGCAGCAGTCATTTCACGTAGTCAGATGGAACCTACTGCAGAACATTACTGTTTAATCGATATTTCGATTGATTTCATTTGAATAACAATTTAATTTGAAGACTGAGCATGGTAAGTATACTGAAGCAAAATAGGAGAAAGTTATTACGGAGGTGAAAAGATTGGTAAAAGCTGAGCTTGTCACCAAACAGCATTCTAAAGTGATTTTCTCAGCTAACCAGCGTAGCAATCAGTAGGGAAACGTACCTGTGTGCTGCCCCCCCCCCCCCCCCCCCGCCCCCCGCAAATTTTTTTGCCGCCCCGAAATTTGATTGGTGCTCTAAATAAAATTTGTTTTTTTTTAAAGGTTGGGCCTTCTTTTTGCTGCCCCCTACAGCTTTTTGCCGCCCCTGTTGAAGCAAAAAATGCCCCAAATATTTGTTTGCGTCGACCGAACATTAAATTGGACAGAATAATACACATAATATTGAAATTCAGGAAAAAGCATTACATAACAGTGAATCTTGCAGCTAACCTAATTATGATTCATTTACCAACGCTGCATATGCAGTAATGGGAGAGAGAGCGAGAAAAAGTGAGCAATTATGTATGTCACAATTGTGCTACAAAACCATCAATTTACCCACTTACCAGCGGCTGATTTTTTAAAAATTCGCTAATTGGCTTCGTCAGAGTTTTGTCGAAACTATACCAAAAAAATCACTCCCATAACTCTAATCTTTTCTTAATTAAGCCGCTCGGAAATTACACACGCACAGACAGACAGACATTCTGAGATTATTATTTAAGATTATATATATTGTCTTATCAGTATTACCGTTTATCTAAACTATATTTTAAACTTGACGAAATCCCCCCGGCAACGGGGACATAAAACAACACTGAAAATCGACCAAAAACCGACCCTCTGGCGTGACCAATTGCAATTTCAGCTCACAAATGGAGTTGAAACCTCGCGATATCTAGCAGGGTTGTAAAAAAGGATAGGATTAGGAGATAACATTTCGATTATTGCTTTAGATTTTCTATAATTAACGTTGGAACTGAGGTAAAATGAACGTTAGAATAATGGCGTAATTTCATAAAAGGTTACCCAGTGGCGTAACTTAGGGCCCGCAGACCCCGCTGTGCGGGGGGGGGGGGGGGGGCGCCGTATAAGGGGGGCGCAATTTTCCTGAATTTTAGGCCCTTTCACTGAAAAAACGTCTTGTTTGTGTATTTCCCTGTCCAATTTAGCGTTCGGTCGACGCGAAAAAAATATTTGGGGTACCCTTTTTTGCTTAAGGGGGTGCAAAAAGCCTTAGGGGGGGGGGGGGGCGAGAAAAAAAGTACCAACCTTTTTTTTTTTTTAATTTTATTTTTAGGGACACAAAAAATTTTAGGGGGCGCTTTTCGTCACTGAGCGGGGGGGCGCCAACAGGCAAAGTTACGCCACTAAGGTTACCTGCATCATTGCGTAACAACATCAAGAGATTGCATGTGCGCGAGCAAGAACAGATTAATAACGCGCGTTGCCATGCTTTATACGTCATAACTAGCTCACATTTACGCTCACGATATCACTATTCATAACTTTGGTTGTGATCGATATTTTTCGATGCGGTAGAAAGTATTGTACTTAGGGAATTTGAATACTTACAATTTTTTCGTCATTGTCAAGTAAAACCCATACTTTCTACAGTACAGACCTTAGAGCTAGATGATTAGAGATTAGAGAAATTTAAACATAAATAATTTTTTAAATTTCCTCAAACAAAGCTTTCAGCTGGCGGGTTTCTAGTTGAATTATGGTTTACTAACAATTAGATAAACCCACTATTCCCCCACACTGATATCCCGGCACTTTTTTGTAGATTTGCTATACAACAGAGTCACAGGTCAGCAAAATCATACATACTCTCCTTTTCTACTTTAAGTTTACATGCTATAACTTAAAAATGAAGATCTTGCGGTTTAATGCATACTAAAGATACTAAGAACTAAAACTACAGATCTGAGCTCGTTATTGGGAAAAACTTATTGTTTCGTCGAATTTGTAATTTCCAAAAGAGTTTAAAAACTTTTCTACTAACGGGTATATCAAACATGCCTTGCCCTTGGTGCACTCTTGTGATTGACTAGAATCTAGATAGCAATTAACAATTAAGTAGGTCCGGCCACCTTTCAATTGCAAGTTCATTAACTGTTCACCAAACATTTGCTCAAGGTTCGAATTAAAAAGTTATTTAGATTGATATTTTCTATCGCTTGCATTGGTTCCCTTCACATGTTGACGAAGACCTTAGGGACCAAGCCTCATATCTTCTCAGTGTTGGTAACGAGGTCTCCAGTCTGGAAGATCTGGGTACTCCACACTTGGCGATCCTAAACTGCTCCAGAGATCCAAAGTTCATCCAAATCTGCAGTAAATGTGTGAATAATGATGACCTCAAGCTAAGAAGGAAAATCTGTATTTCTACAGGGCCCACCCACGCCTAGCTGGGGAGTCTAGTCCCTACATTAGACGGCCAATGCTCTATCCATTGGTATGTACGCGGCCTTACCCAGGCCTGTAATAAATGGGGAGTCCCTCTTAGGACGACCAGTGCTAGACACTGTTTACTACTGACTGAATGGAAACCTACTTTACTCTTTGGATTGGTAGAACCTGTCTGGTTACATGAACATTGGAGCTAGTTTTATATTAACTCACATGATATTATTGTCGACTTAGACTGCTTGGATGTATCACATCTCAACCATTGTTGGATGTGTTACTTTGTTTTGGGCTTCACTTTTAAGCTTTATTGACTTTATCTATAAAATTGCATCTCCATTGATATTTATGTAACTCGAAAAACTTTTTCTACCAAAAACGTTTTCGATCGGGAATCGTCTTTAAATTATTTTGGGGAATATTTTGACTTGATATAACGACGTCGTCGTAATGACACAAGTGACTGATCATAGTGATCAACCACCTTATTTGATAGTGTTTTTAAAAATAAAGTATTTATATTTTTAACTTGGGGTGTAAATATTTTTAGGGTTTTTATTTTTTAAATTTCAGATCTTTCATACTATATGTTACTAAAATGCTCATTGTAGCCTATAATATTTAGATTTTCATCATCAATTCACAAAGAAGGTACAACATAAAAAAAACTCAAAAAGAGCGCAAGCGGAAATTGTCGCACCTGAGTTCAAAATGTAGAATATATGTTCATTATGTTTTGTAGGTTAGTAACCTACCAAAACGCGCACTGAGTTGGACTCGTCGACGGTATGTAGCTTTAAAAAACGCCTTGCACAGAGATTGGTGTTCTAGATAACAAATAAGACAAGGCTCATTGGTGTATTAGAATCTTGCTCTGGGACAAAATTGTAAACACAATTAATTGTTTATGTTTGTTAACCTTTTTATTTTGAGGAGAAATTTTATATATGTTTTTCAGAAGGCGCGCGGCGCTATATTTATATTCTCTGCGCGGCGAAAGAACATTTAATTTGATACGTATAAAATTGCCACACGTTGTAGGCCCGCCGCACATAAGTGCACGGCTGTTTCGTGGTAATTTCACCCCAATGCTAAATGAAATTAAAACAGGGTCACAACATGATACAAATATAAACTAGTTTTCTAACTTGCCTAATTATTTTAATTTTAATTTTTACATTAGATCGACATGAAGAACTTCTGAGTTGCTCTAACCAGAGCCCTCTCGCTTGCAGTAGCGCGCGACCGCCGTAGGCGGCAAAAGAGGGCTCTATAGATGGCCACAAACTGGCACCACAAATCGTGGTGCCAGATTTCCTCCCATATTTCTGATGCCGCGCGCGACGTGTTAGTCATGTCTATAGTTACTGCAACTGTTAGACTCGTGCATTGCATTTGCACATATATAATCAGTGCAATATTTTCTCGTTGGATAAGAGTTTTTGAGGGAATTAATTTTATCTCTTTGTTCAATCGTTTCATTTTACAACTGTTTCCTGTTTCTTTGTTCGTTGCCATCATTCGGCAGCTGATCAGATCATTCGGCGGATGTTTCTTTGTTCGTTGCTTTTATTCGGCAGCTGATCAGATCATTCGGCGGATGATTCAAAGGGAGACAACTTTAAAGGTGTTTGAAGGTCAGCTGAAGGTCAGCTGAAGACGATTTACACAAATATTTTGAAAGCTCCTGCTAATTAAATCCTTGCGTATCACTTATATGTTTTTAATATCCCTCTAGGTTTAAAGGTTTCTGTTAAATTGTCAGTAATCAGCAGACTTTGCTACACTTTTGTCATTTGCAATTAAACTTAAAATATGTTAAAGGTTGTCATTGTCTATAATTTCGAAATAGAGTTTTGTAGGGAACTAATTTAGTCTCTTTGGTCAAGCAACCCGGAACCCCATGAATAGTGAATACTGTTATTATCATCTCCGAGTTCACAACAGGTATGGGTTTTATTCATAATATATTGAGGCACTTATAGTATAGTTCAGTCATTTCATTTTACAACTGTTTCCTGTTTCTTTGTTCGTTGCCATCATTCGGCAGCTGATCAGATTATTCGGCGGATGTTTCTTTGTTCGTTGCTTTTATTCGGCAGCTGATCAGATCATTCGGCGGATGTTTCTTTTTTCGTTGCTTTTATTCGGCAGCTGATCAGATCATTCGGCGGATGATTCAAAGGGAGACAACTTTAAAGGTGTTTGAAGGTCATCTGAAGGTCAGCTGAAGACGATTTACATAAATATTTTGAAAGCTCCTGCTAATTAAATCCTTGCGTATCACTTATATGTTTTTAATATCCCCTCTAGGTTTAAAGGTTTCTGTTAAATTGTCAGTAATCAGCAGACTTTGCTACACTTTTGTCATTGTCTATAATTTCGAAATAGAGTTTTGTGGGGAACTAATTTAGTCTCTTTGGTCAAGCAACCCGGAACCCCATGAATAGTGAATACTGTTATTATGATCTCCGAGTTCACAACAGGTATAGGTTTTAAAATTCATAATATATGGGGGGGGGGGGGGGGGGGGGGGGCAACCAACCATATTAAAGTATA